ACTCTTTCTAGAGTCTCAATATCTTTTTTACATCGTGGCGACCAAAACTGAATTCAGTATTCCAAGTGTGGCCTTAACCAAGGCATTATAAAGTGGTATTAACACTTCACGTGATCTTGATTCTATCCCTCTGTTTATGCAGCCTAGAACTGTGTTGACTTTTTTGGCAGCTGCTGCTGCAAACTGCTGGCTCACATTTAAATGGTTGTACACTAGGACTCCAAGATCCCTCTCAAAGTTACTACTATTGAGCAAGGTACCACATATACTGTACCTGTGTATTTTGTTTTTCTTGTCTAAATGTAGAACCTTACTTTTTTCACCATTGAATTTCATTTTTGTTAGATAGCGCCCAATGTTCAAGTATGTGAAGATCCTTCTGTATCTTAATCCTGTCTTTTGTAGTGTTGGCTATTCCTGCCAGCCTGGTGTCATCTGCAAATTTGAAGAGTTCCCCATCTATCCCCTCATCCAAGTCATTGATGAAGATACTGGGCCTAAAACAGAACCGTGGGTACTCCATTGCATACTTCCTTCCATGTAGATGCAGTTCCATTGAGGACTACACGTTGAGTGCAGTTGATCAGCCAGTTGAACATCTATTGAAAGATGTTCATTTATGTTAGAACACGTAAAACATTCTCACTTATTCATGTTAATATCCTGGCATTCTGGTGCTGAAAATAAATATTTCTTAATAGTCATAGATGTGATTTGCTTTATACAATATATTGTGCAAACTTAGTTATTACATGTTAGCTTAATACCATACGATAGATACAGCACAAAATGGTACTGATAGTGATACTTATTGAATTTATGGGTTTAAGTAGAAAAATAGATTTTCTTATAGTTTTATAAGTTATTTAAACTTTAGCCTGTCTTTTTATTTTTTATAAATAACTCAAGGCAGCAAACGTATCCAATACTACTTCCTCTTCCAATTTTCCACTCATCAACCTTGTGAGGTGGGTTGGGTTGGGAGAGTATGACTGGTGTAAAGTCACCCAGCAGTCTGTTCATTCCTAAAAACAGCACAATCTGCTGGCTTTTAGCTTAGTGCCGTGATGGCGAACCTATGGTACATGTGCCATGGGTGGCACATAGCGCCCTCTCCATGGGCACCCCAGCCATCACCCCAGCCTAGCTCCAATTCACATGCATGCACGCCTCCTGCTGGCCAGCTGATCTTTGGGTCTGCCACACATGCACGGAGGGCATGCAGGGATTGCAGCATGCGTGGGGGGTAGGACGTATGCATGGGGGCGCTTGGGGGGCTTGCGTGGCATCCATGCACCACATTTTGGGGCTGGAAGGCCTCCTGCACAAACCTGGAAGCCAAAATCAGGTGTGGGAGGGTGGGGTGCATGCGTGGGTGTCACGTATGCGTGGGGTGGGCCGCGCAAGGGGCTTCACAGGCACATTGCATTATAGGTGCAGGCGCACATTCTTTCAGTACACGATTACAAAAAAGTTAGCTATCACTAGCCTAGTGTCTTAACTACTACTAGACCAATCGGTTTTCTTCCTTTTTCTCCTCTATTAGCTAGAAAGATCAGAATGAAATCCATGCTGAACACATATAACCACCTTTGCTCATCTTAAAATGGAGAGCTGTTAATGAATTAAAAAATTAAAAATATGTAATGCTATGCTAATTTATTATATTTCTCAAATCAAGCATATTTATATTTAAATAAATATGCAGATGGCAGAGGAATCAATTGTGGACTAACCCATCCTGCAACTCTGCTCAATGCATTCTTTTGGTTCTTACTGCATAATCTTATTTTTTTGGAACGGGAAGCCTACATTTTACATTTTGGAATTTTACTGCTATATATCAAGCTATGTAAGCCTCTGGCTATGTGACTTGGCTACATTTTTACCTTCCTATCTGTCTCAGCCAATGCAAATGAGAAGTAACTTGGAAATCATATTTTTAAATTATTCATTATGCTCAACAGTTAAGTAATATGAGAGAAAGGAAGAAATACCAAAAGCTTCCATATCATCTCTAGGGAGAAAATCTATACTTCAGCTTGGGAAAGGACCAAGAAAATAAATTATGCTTAAATATTTACAGAAATGCTCCAAACATTTTAAAAATAAATAGCCAAAGCAGAGGAGATTGTGTTTCCTTATTAAATATCTGCTTGGAGATAGAAGATAACATTCTGGTAACAGTGCTCAAGGATGTGGAAAGAAGAATTTAGAAATTAACTTTATGAGAAGGTTAACAATCCGGATGTACTGTCAACAGCAACAATAACACTAATAGGAAAATTTGAAAATTACTCTGGACAAATTCCTTAGCAATATAGGCAAAGTTGTTAAGAAAAAAATGGGCTTCAACTAATAAATAATTGAAGTTTTATCAAATAGTTATCAAATAATTTTATCTTCATGAGAATCGGGAGAAGGCTGCCTGAGATTTTGTGCAAACTACTTTCATGATCTGGACTCAAGCCTTGTTTAGCTGATCATTGCCTTAGTGGTTGATAAGCCCATTATCCTCCAAGGACATTTCTCTTTATTCACTACAATTGTGAAATCCTGACAGAACCTGTGCAATCCCTCTAATTGGATGTGCGAAAGGAATAATTGAGCCAAGCTGAAATGGACAAAATTAGTTGGAAAACTAGGAAATTAATGACCATCAGTGGTGGGTTCCTAACTTTTCGGGCTGGTTTGGCGACCCAGGCCTGCCACGCTCCCAAACTGTTTCTCCTGGCAGCACCATGGGCACCGCCATCTTGTTTTTCTGCTTCTGCGCATGCGCAGAGCAATTTTTATTGCTCTGCACATGCGCGCACAGTGCACATCAAGCGCGCCCACGAGCGAACAGCCAGTAGTGACTGCCGGAACCTCCCCTGATGACCATATATCATGTGCTTCACCCAATAAACGACGTTTACACATATAGTAGCAGTAGAAAAGGAATGTAAAAAACTAGAATTGAATTGAATTGAATTGAATAGGTTTATTTATAGGCCGCC